AAATAAATTAAAAAAAATAAAAAATAAAAAAAGACACACAAGTAGAAAAAAAAAGATTTTTTTGAGATTTATTTTTATTTTATGTGGACTGGTATTTTGCCTGCATCAATGTTTGTGTGCCACATGTATTCAGTGCTCATGGATGCTAGAAGAGGGCGTCAGATCCTCTGGAAGTGGAGTTACAGACAGTTGTTAGCCCCCATGTGGGTGTTGGGATTGAACCCTGGTCTTTCAGAAGAGCAGTCACGTCTCTTAACTGTTTAGCCATCTCTTCAGCCCAGCATTGTTGTTATAAGTTTTCAAGCCAGAGCGTATGCGTATTGTGTAGAGAATAAGTAAAGTTTTTTTTTGGGGGGGGGGAAGTAGGATGTAAGAATATTGATAAGGTAAAGCAAGGAAGATTATTCTGGAGACTAATTCACATCATTCTGATGTGAATTTATAAAGACCTGTTAAAGTTATTTAGTGAGGTAGAAGGCAAATAAAGAATGGTGAAATTTTCTTATCCTGGGCTTCTGTAACCCTTCTTGTTATGGATATGTTTTGGTCATGTTTTATGCCATTATTTTGACATTATACTTCTACAACTTGTTTTCAGTTGTACAAGTCAAAGTTATATTGAATTACTCCATGTGTATTAATAGAAAAATAATGATAATGAGCCTATGGCTTGAATCACATTTTAGATGTTTTTGCTCATTTTGGGGTAATTTTTATGTTTATTTTTATTAAAACTTTATTGTAAATAACTTGCAAATAAAAACATCACATGCTCATTTTAAAATTATTCTTTTCTCTCTGTTATTTCTATCTGCAAGTTATCATTTGATGTTTGAGAAGGCAGATTGCATAGCAAAATGGAACCTGCAAAGTAATAGCTTGTGCCTCTTGTGAGGTTATGGTGATTTAATGATTTTATATTATTTGTTGCCCTCTTTTATTAGGCATATTAAAAATTTCTAGCACATGTCTAGTGAATGGCAAACAGCAATCTTGCTTTTTTGAATTATTTATGTACACTTCTATGAACATTCAAGATATGCACAAATTATAATTCACTCCCAGCCCCTAGTTTGGGTGCAGGAGTTAGATGAACCCTCAGGTCCTTCTTTGGTATTAGAAACCCTTGGGAATAATTTTAGCCATGATTATATTATGGCCGCTTAATGAATGACTGGATCACCCTTGAACCTCTGTGTATTACTTGAGTTGGGAAAGGTCAAGATGAATTGTTTTGAATGGTTTTAGAACCTGTGATAGGAAATATCATGGCTAGCTTCTCTCACTCTTCACATAGCCTCAGGGCTGCTGTGGAGCTGCATTCCTGGTGTGGCACTCTTGCGTTGTATGGTTACTGGTTTTATATGAATAGAAATAACAATGAAGTTTCCATAGTTCAAAAGAATTGGAGCTACTGCATTTATAGAATTTATTTTTCAGACCTTATGTGTTACAGATTGCTATTATGCTTTCCACATTCTTTTCCGTAACTAGACCTGACTACTTTAATACCAGTTGAAAGATATCTTGCAATGGTTCACCCATGTCAATCACGAGTAAATTGCCTCCTGACTTCAGAGTTTCCTTTTAGACTTTTTACTTCAGTCTGTTTATAGTTGTGTTTAATAAGTCAGTGCATGCCAGCTAAGTTTATTGCATCATCTTACTCTTTCTCCTTTTCTCTAATCAGTAGTAAGCAATGCATGTGTCATCCCTAATAAGGATGTATGCATTACACTGTGAATGCTTCTGAAATCTGAAAGCATTTAATCACTTGCTACAGACCCACTGTAACACTTGCGAGTTTTATTTGACATCTGTTCCTTTAAACAATCTCACAGAACCCTCTTAATTTTCATGACCTGCAGTCTGGATTCCTTTTGGCGAAGGTAGAAATTGTCTAGAAAAAGATTTTTTTTTTAAAATTTTTTTTCCTGGCTTCAACTCTATACTGGGAACCTGACATTTTAAGTTACAGGAAAAAATAGTAATAATTTTGCAAGAACGTAATTCTATTACACAAAGTAATTTTACCATTACTATGTAGCTATCCTTCATTTGATGTTTTATATATAGCATGAAAGCATGACATTCTTGACTAATTTTGAAAAATACAAATTTATTTTTATAAAAATGAAATCAACTTCCCAGAAATTCTTATACTATGCAGACTAGATTATACTACTGGGATTAGGCAACATACAAATTTAGGACTTATCTTCTTCTGTACAAATATCAGGAGATTATTAAAACCAATTTGATCCTTTAATTTATCTCCACATATAACCTTTGGAGGATTATTTTAGAAAATATTTTGTTCAGTATGGTGAGAGTGAGTTTCTGCATTGTTTTCTACTAAGTTCTTTATTTACTTACACCTGAGGTAGGCATAAAGTGCTAAAGGTGAGTGCATTGGAAACTATGTCCAAG